ATAAATTGGAGAGTAGCCACAGCACCTTTGATTGATTAAAAATTATATGTATAGTTTTTAAATCACATTGAAAAATATTAATTGTAATTGATTATATATGATGTGATAAAATGTACCCACAAGAATTTATTGCATGTGTATGATTAATTAGGATAAGATATTGGATTATATTTCTTAATCTACCCACAGGAATTAAGAAAAGGAATATAATTTAATGGTTTTGTCATAAAGATATGTAATGAGTCTAATTGAATAGGACTTTAGCTCAGAGACAAGTTTTATGTTACTAGATTCATGAATTAAAGAATGTTTGCATTGGTAAAACATGATATTTATTTTATCCTCAAATTATGATGATAAGCATGTGATATTTTAAACTTTGGAGTTTCTCAATCTGTGAGTATTTCTGATATTAAATGTGGTATTCCCGAGTTAAAGGGTGACAACTATAAGGTCTGGAAAGAGAGAGTTCTTCTTCATTTGGGCTGGATGGACATTGATTTGCTATTAGGAAGGACGAACCACCGGCTATTACCACAACTAGCACTCTAGATGCAGTTGATCTTTATGAAAAGTGGGAGGGGTCTAATCGTCTTTCCGTGACTTTCATGAAGACCAACATTTCTGCTCGTATTCGGAGTTTTATCAATCAGCATGATAAAGTCAAGCATTTATTGAAGGCCATTGATGAGCAATTTACTACTGATAAATCTCTTGCCAGCACCCTTATAATGCAATTTTAATCCATGAAGCTTATTGGAATTAGAGGAGTGCATGATCACATCATGCGCATAAGGGATATAGTGGCTCAGCTGAAAGCCTTGGAGGTTACCATGTCTGATTCCTTCTTAGTACACTATATTTTGTGTACCTTGCCTCATCAATATACCCTATTCAAGATCTCTTATAACACACATAAGGATAAGTGGTTTATTAATGAATTGTTTACTAAGTGTGCTTAAGAAGAGGAAATGTTACTAATGGAAGAAGGGGAGAGGGTAAACTTAACTACCTCTGCGAGGAGTAAAAAGAATCAAGTTAATCACAAAGGAAGGATTCCTATTCAGCCGGACATAAAGAATGAGTCAAAGTATTTCTTTTGTAAAAAGAAAGGATACATGAAGAAAGACTGCCTGAAATTCAAGACATGGCTAGACAAGAAGGGTAATCCATTTGCTTTTGTTTGTTATGAATCTAATATGGTTGATATTAATCATAATACATGGTGGATTGATTCTGATTCTACAATCCATGTTTGTAATACCTTGCAGGTTATGCAAAACCTAAGGAGGCCAGTGGGAAGTGAACAATGCATCTACTCAAAGAGTAGGATGAGTTCACATGTAGAGGCCGTTGGGATGTGCAATTTAACTTTAAGTAGTGGTTTTGTTTTAAACTTAGAAAAGATATTTTATGTTCCTAGTTTTTCCAAGAATTTGATTTTAATTTCAAGACTTGCACCTTTAGGTTTTTCTTTTAACTTTTCAAACACTAGTTTTACTTTATTGAATAAATCTAAACTTGTTGATTTTGGTGAACTATGTGATGGACTTTATTCTATTACTTTTCAAAATAATGTCGCTTATAATTCTATGCACGTTACTGCTGGGGTAAAACGATGTGTTGTGAATGAGGAATCCTCTATGTTGTGGCATCGGAGATTGGAACACATCTCCATTGAGAGAATTAAGCGATTAGTAAATGAATGATTACTTAGTGCTTTGGACTTTACTGATTTTGAGACTTGTGTGGATTGCATTAAGGGTAAGCAAACTAACAAATCTAAAATTGGTGCCAAGAGGAGTTCAAACCTATTAGAGATCATTCATACAGATATTTGTTGTCTAGATATGGACGCAAGTAGTCTGAGATATTTTATCACCTTCATAGATGATTACTCATGATATATGTATATCTACTTGCTTCGTTCTAAGGATGAAGTTTTGGATACCTTTAAAGTTTTTAAGGCTGAAGTAGAGCTGTAATGTGGAAAGAAAATTAAGATTGTGAGATCAGATAGAGGTGGAGAATACTATGGTAGATACACAAAGAATGAACAAGCACCTGGTTCATTTGCGAAATTTCTTCAAGAATATGGCATTGTTGTCCAGTACACTATGTTTGGTTCTCTGGATCAGAATGGTGTGGCAGAAAGAAGGAATCAAACTTTGATGGACATGGTGAGAAGCATGAGGAGTAATGCAAGGCTTCCTCAATTCTTGTGGATTGAAACACTTAAGATGGCTGTGTATATATTAAACAAAGTTCCAACTAAGGCTGTCTCAAAGACACCTTTCGAACTGTTCAAAGGTTGGAAACCTAGTTTACGACATATACACGTTTAGAGATGCCTATCTGAAGTAAGAATTTATAACTCACAAGAGAAGAAACTTGACTCTAGGACTATTGATAAATCCACATTTTACTACATATTAGGTACATTTTTTTTGTTAATAAATAAGTAGTAATGTGCCAAATAAACTTGGAAATGCAATTAAAAATTGCATTAATATTCATAATTGTGTAAATAGTTTAGAATTTTAGATTTTTTTTACAATTCTGAACAATTTGACTTAAAAAGACTTAATTCTTATACAGAAACTTGAGTTGAGAATTTAAAGATATTAAAGTGGAAAAGTAAAAAGATTGAGCCTAAAAAAGCAAGAATCAGATGGTAAGTGTTGAGCGTAACCACTTTGAGTACATAATGTTAACACTTTGAAAAAGAAAATCTATGAAGACCAAGATAGTAGCAACTCTAAGTGGTGAAAGTGAACACTCCAGCAGCAGAGATCCTGAAAGACCTTGCGGTGTCCACACCAAGCGTTGAGAGTAGCTACACAGTAAGTGCACGTTCCTTCCAAGCGTTTAGAGTAGTTACGCCCAAGGGTAATTCACTTATGTAGTAAGCGTGTGTCCCCTGCAAGCACTATGAGTAGCTATGCAGTAAGTGCGTGTCCACTCTATACGTTGAGAGTAGCTATGCGTGAGGCTTTTCTATACAGAACAATTGCGTGTGGACACTCTTACCACTTAAAGTGTCCACGCAAAAGTAATAGAATTTTGAAAATCACTTCTAAGTGTTGACTTTGGACGATTTGAGTTCCTAATTTAGTTGTAGAAGCTTCTAGAAGACCTTTCATACTATAATCTTTAGAGACTAAAGTGTGAAAGTGAAAAAGGCGGGAAAAATATTATAAATAGAAGTTAAAAGTTTAGATTAAGGGACTTTTGTTCATTTTTGTCATTTTTCACTTTGTAACTGTTTTAACTTCCAAGGGAAGTCAAAGAGAGAGATTGGGAGCAACTTTCAAGCTTCATTGCTAGAGGAATTAAGGTGAAGATTGAGTCTTGAAAGATGTTCTTCTGTTTTTTGTCTTCTTCTCTTACTTCTCCTTCTTCTATTGTAATGTTGTTCTAAACCTTTTCAATTAGGGATCTATGGATCTAGATTTGATATTGTGATATAATTTTAGATTTAGATCTTGAGATTTTAATTGAATTAAGTATGTGATTATGTTCTTAATGCATTTGTGAACTAATCATTTATTCAATTGAACTTAGAAGAATCTTCATTAATGGAAATTGAGTTTACTTCTCATATTTGAATCATATGCCTAGGTTATTGAGATCTTAGGAATAAGTATCATAGTCTAGTAATCCTATAATTTCCAGAACTTAATGCAATATTTGATTGAATTTCACCTAAGGAATTAGGGAAGTTTAATTAGGTATTAGGATCAATGAGGTAAGGAATTATTAATCAATTAAAATTCTCAAGAGTCCAGAACATGATTATATTGCAATTGAAAATCTGGTGAAGTGATTTCTAACTATTTTTCATATAGTATTTTTAATACAAAATTCATACTTTATTTTTACAGCAAGTTTGTTACCTTATATTGTTTTTATTTCTTACATTTACATGTTACAAATCTTCCAAATGAATTATGTGGCTCAACTAATTGTTAAATTATGAAGTGGTAATTGAAAATAAGATCCTTGTGGACGATACTTGGGACATATTGATTTCCAAAATTTTATTACTTGCTACAACTACCTAGTACATTTGCTAGTTAGTATTCCTCTAAATTTGCATTGTTGTCGAGAATCTTAATTTTCAATATCATTAGTAGCAAGGAGACAACTAGATTGAGCTGTTTGTTTTCTTTTTAAAATTTTGTTTTATCAATTGAAATTTGTATTTCACTTTTTGCTTTTTTATCTGCACATAGTTCTTGTCTAATTCTGTATAAATTCTGTACCATTGTATTTTGTGTTTAGTTAAATGTTTAGATATTAATTTTCTTTCTTAACTTCTAGTAGGATATTCTACTAGTAATTGTTCTGCATTTTATTGTTCTGTATTTTGATCATTTTTCAAGTTTTCTACTGTGTTTACTTTTTCTTTTTGTTATATGTGTGGGAAAAATAAAAGCAAGACTGCTCTTGAGTTTGATCCGGATATAGATAGAAAATTAAGAAGGCTGAGGAATGAATTAAGAGCAGGAAATTTTGCAAGCAAAGAGTAAGAATTGGAATCTACACCTTTTACCCCTAAATCGGAAGAACTTCAAATTCCTTCTCCTACACCACCAACACCTCAAGAAAAGATAATGGCTGAACAGAACATGATGAGAACTTTAGGGGATTATGCAGTGCCTAACATACATGGATACAACTCCTCTATAGTCAAACCTACCATACAAGCCAACCATTTTAAAATAAAACTAGCTCTACTTCATTTAGTTCAGCAAGATCAATTTTTTGGTTCAATTTTGGATGATCCTAACATACATATCTCTAACTTTTTGCAACTTTGTGATACAATAAGGATGAATAGAGTAAGTGAGAATGTAATTAGATTGAGACTATTTCTATTTTCCTTAAGAGATAAAGCAAAGTGCTAGCTACAATCTCAACCACAAGGAAGTATTACCACTTGGACAGATATTGTCAATAAATTCCTTACTAAGTATTTTCCACCATCTAAAATTGCCAAACTAAGAGGAGATACTACATCATTTATGCAGCAAGAAGGGGAATCTTTATATGAAGCTTGGGAAAAATATAAAAAGCTATTGAGGAAGTTTCCACATCATTGCATACCGGAATGCATGCAGCTGAAAGCTTTCTATAATGGAATGAGTCCAACCATTAGAACTATGATTGATGCAGCTGCGGGAGGATCATTGAATACAAAATCATTGGAGGAAGCTCAACAGATTATAGAGATGATGGCTTCATCTATATACCAAAATTCTAATTCTAGACACTCTACAAGGAGTGGAGGATATGAAGCTAAAATTCTTGAGACCTTCCTTGCACAAAACCAGCTGCAAAACCAAGTGTTCTTAGAGCAAATTGCTGCACTAACTCAACAAATAAGCAATTTACAGGCTGCTCCAATTCAGAACATACAACTTAGTTGTGATTTTTGTGGAGGAAATCATGTTAATAGTGCATGTGATGCACCTACAAATGAACCTTAAGAGAAAATTAATTATATGAAAAATTTCCAGAGACAACAACCTTCATTCCCACATGGTTTTCAGTACTCTAATAGCAAAAACCAATAGTATTATAATTGGAATTCTCAAAATTCTATTGCAAAGAATTCTAATTCTGCATTACCTTTTTCTGGTGCAGGTCCAACAGCACAACAATCCTATTTTTAAGGGAATCCGGCCATCTTAACCTCAAAGAAATCAAAAGTTCTCCAAGCCTATGACTAAAAGGTTGAATGAAATGGAGGAAACCATGCTGCAATTTATAAAAGTGACCCCAAACAAGCTTCAAGAATCTTCCATGAAAAAACTTGAAACTCAAATTGGATAGTTGGCTGAACAATTGTCTAGCAGAGAAGAAGAGAGATTTTCTAGCAATACAGTTGTTAATCCAAAAGAACAATATTAAGCTGTAATGACTAGGAGTAAGCTATTGTGGGGAGTTCCAAACTTCCCAAAAAGAGAGAAAATAATTCTGCTACAGAGGAGAAGTTGAAATCTGACTTGGATGAAGAAAAATTTACCTTGCTGAAAAGAGAAAATTTAGAAAAGGAAAGTTCTCCAAGGGCTGTGAGAAAGACAAACAGGCAAATACTTGAGGAAGCAAATCAGCCTATTAATGAGGAGAAATACAAGAGACTTCCTTCCCAATTCAAAACAAGAAAAGCAATTTGAGAGGTTTCTAGATGTCTTCAAGAAACTCCAAATAAATATTCCTTTTGCTGAAGCACTTGAGTAAATGTCTTCCTATGCTAAATTCATGAAGGAGTTGTTATCTAAAAAGAGAAAGCTTAAGAATGATAAAACAATCCCCTTGATTGAAAAATGCAATGCTATTTTGCAAAGGAAGCTCCCTTAAACATTAAAGGATCCAAGTTCTTTTAGCATTCCATGTTCCATTAGAAATTGTACCATGAGAAAAGCTCTATGTGATCTTGGGGCCAGCATTAATCTCATGTCTCTTACTATCATGAAGAGACTTGGAATAGAGGAAGTCAAGCCTACTAGCATAACTTTACAACTTACGGATAGATTTTACACATATCCTTATGGTATTTTATTTTCCATGCAGATTTTGTAATTTTGGACATGGAAGTGGATGCCGACATTCTTTTAATTTTAGGCAGACCATTCTTAGCCACAGGGAGAGCTTTAATTGATGTTCAAAAGAGAGAGCTTATGTTGAGAGTGTAAGATGAGAAAGTTATTTTTAATATATTTGAGGCACTCAAACATCCCAATGATGATGTTACTTGTATGAGGGTTGATATTCTAGACTCTATTAATTTCCCTCATTTTATTGATAATGCTGATGAGATTTCATTGTTAAGGGAAATAATAGTTGCAGGGAATCATTCTACTACTATAAAAAAAGAACACTTGAGAGAATATATGCAGCAGTTGGACACTTTGTCAATTGTTCCTTTTTCAGAAAATTTAGTAAAAAAAGAACTAGAAAATGAAATAAGGGAAGAGAAGATTGAGAAACTGGAGTTGAAACAGTTGCCTTCTTACTTGAGATACTCTTTCTTAGACTAAGAACATGAAAATCCAGTGATTATTAGCAATGATCTCAAGAGAGAAGAAGAGGAGAAATTGCTGAGAATTTTAAGAGCTCATAAATCAGCAATTGGTTGGAATATTTCAAATTTAAAGGGGATTAATCCAGCTTTTTGCAAGCATAGAATTCTATTTGAAGAGAACTACAAACCAGTAGTACAGTCAGAAAAAAGACTAAATCCAGTCATGAAAGAAGTAGTGAGAAAAGAAGTAATGAAAGTTGTTGGATGCAGAGATTATTTACCCAATTTCAGATAGCCAATAGGTTAGTTCAGTGTAATTTGTCCCTAAGAAAGGAGGGATGACCATTGTGCCTAATGAAAAGAATGAATTAATTCCTACTAGAATTGTCACGGGCTGGCGCATGTGTATTGATTATAGAAAATTAAATGATGCAACTAGAAATTATCACTTTCCATTGCCATTTGCTGATCAAATGTTGGAAAGGCTAGCTAGACATGCATTTATTATTTTCTTGATGGATATTCTGGTTATAATCAAATAGCGGTGGACCCTATGGATCAAGAGAAGACTGCATTTACATGTCTATTTAGAGTTTTTGCATATAGAAGAATGCCATTCAGATTGTGCAACGTTCCTGCTACCTTTCAAAGGTGTATCCTGTCCATTTTTTCTAATTTAGTAGAGAAAATTATTAAGGTTTTCATGGATGACTTTTTTGTTTTGGGTAATTCATTTGATGATTGTTTAGCTAATCTGTCCATTATTTTGCAAAGGTGTCAAGACACCAACTTAGTTTTAAATTGGGAAAAGTGTCATTTCATGGTCCAAGAGGGAATTGTCCTTAGCCATAGAATTTTAGAAAAAGGAATGGAGGTGGATCAAGCCAAAATAGAAGTTATTAGTAAATTGCCTCTACCAATTAATGTAAAGGGAGTTAGGAGCTTCTTAGGCCATGTAGGTTTTTATAGGAGATTTATCAAAGATTTTTCAAAAAGTGCAAAAGCTTTTAGTGATTTACTTGTTAAAGATGCTGACTTTGTATTTGATGATTCTTGTTTGCATGCATTTTCTGTTTTGAAAGAAAAACTTATTTCTGCACCTATTCTTTCAAAACCTGATTAGAATGTACCTTTTGAATTAATGTGTGATGCAAGTGATAGTGCAGTAGGTCTGGTTCTAGAACAGAAACATGATAGGAAATTGCATGTCATTTATTATTCCAGCAAAGTCTTAAATTTTGCACAAGGAAATTACACAACTTCTAAGAACTCCTTGCTATTGTGTTTACTTTTGATAAATTTAGATCATATTTGATGAGATCAAAACTCATAGTATATACTGACCATTTTGCACTTAAATATTTGTTGTCCAAACAGGATGTCAAGCCAATATTGTTGAGATGGATTTTGCTACTACAGGAGTTTGAATTGGAAATTAGAAATAAAAAGGGGGAAAATGGGGGGTAGCTGATCATCTGTCTAGACTTCCATTAGACAGTTTAACCTTTAATTCCTTGGACATTAATGAAGAATTTCCAGATGAAAGACTACTTGCTGTGGAAGATCTACCTTGGTTCTAATATTGCAAACTTTAAGGCTACTTAACTCATTCCAAAGAAATTTACTTGATAGAAAAGAAAGAAATTTCTACATGACAGCAAATTTTATGTGTAGGAAGACCCTTATTTGTTCAAAATTGAGGTGGATGGTCTACTTAGAAGGTGTATCCCACAAAGTGAACAAGCTGAGATATTATAGTATTGTCATAATTTAGACTGTAGAGGCTAACATGGGAGTTCAAGAACTACTGCAAAAGTCTTGCAAGCAGAATTTTTCTGGCCTACACTCTTTAAAGATGCTAAAACTTATGTTGAGAGCTGTGATAAGTGTCAAAGGACAGGCAACATCTCCAGGAAGCATGAGCTACCATTGATAAACATTTTAGAAGTGGAATTATTTGATGTATGGGGGATTGACTTTATGGGACCCTTTCCTATGTCTTTCTCTCATGAATACATTCTTGTAGCAGTTGATTATGTTTCCAAGTAGGTGGAAGTCATCCTAACAAGGACAAATAATGCCAAGGTGGTAATTTCTTTCATTAAAGAAACATCTTTGCTAGATTTGGAGTGCCCAGATTTTTAATAAGTAATGGAGGTGCTCATTTCTACAATAAGCATCTTGAATCAGTCCTAGCAAAGTATGGTGTGAAGCCCAAGGTTGTTACTCCTTATCATCCACAAACAAGTGGACAGGTTGAAGTGTCAACAGAGAAATTAAACAAATTCTAGAAAAAGTGGTGAATAGTTCAAGAAAGGATTGGTCAAAGAAGTTAGATGAATCTTTGTTGGGCATATAGAATTGCCTTTAAGACTCCAATTGGTATGTTACCTTACCAATTAGTCTTTGGAAAGACATGTCATTTACCTTTGGAGATGAAACATAAAGCATATTGGGCTACTAAATGGTTGAATTTTGACTTGGCTAGTACTGAAGAAAGGAGGATTTTACAGCTACATGAGCTGGAAAAATCTAGGCAATAGGCCTATGAAAATGCTAAGCTATACAAGGACAGAACCAAGAAGATCCATGATAAATTCATTCTAAAAAAAGAGTTTAACGCTAGACAACAAGTTTTGTTGTTTAATTCAAGGCTGAAATTATTTCCAGGAAAGCTTAGATCAAGATGGTTTGCACCTTTTATGGTTAATGAAGTATATCCCTATAGTGCAATATTAATTGAGGATCAAAAGACAGGGAGAGAATTCAAGGTCAATGGCCAAAGGCTGAAAGTTTATCATGGAGAGGCATTCACAAAGAACATCTCTTATGTTAAATTGGTTTCTCTTGAATGAGAAACATGAGGCGTCAAGCTAGACGTTAAAAGAGCGCTTGTGAGAGGTAACTCACATTTCTAACCCTTTACTCTTGGTAGAATCTAGTTTAGGAATTTTTACTTTTAGTTATTTTTGAATTTTTAAAATTCTGCATTTTTTGAATTTTTAGTTAAAAATGTAATGGTTAATTCTAAATTTCCTAGTGATAATGAAAAACAAATTGGATTTTAATATTTACAT